AGACTCATGTAATGGTACAAGATCCCAATGATGAATGTAACTGTATTTTATACCTAAAATGTACCAATAAAGTTAATGGGGGGGGGAAGAAAGGGAAAGAGAAGGAAAGGGAAGGGAAGGGAAGCCAACACTGGGACTACATGATCAAAGGAAACACTGAGCATGAGTTTACTCATGAAAACATTTTCAAACGTTATACTAATGGTGAAATTGGCCTCAAGTGAAATTTATCTGACAGTTTTTTAATTTTGCTTTTTAAAATTTCTCTTCATTTTTTTTGTTTGCTTATTGGGATACTCAGTTTCAGTGGGAGTTGAGACAGATTGCTTTGGTGTATCATTCTTTATCTTTTTTTTTTTTTTTTTTTTTTTTATCATGATGAAGTTGAATCATTGGGGGCAGAATATAGTTCAGTCTCACTTCTTTATCCTTTTGTGTTGATTTGTTTTTTTTTTTTTTTTGTTTTTTGGTACCAGGAATCAAACTTAGGACCTTGCACTTGCCAGGCAGGTGAGACACCACTGAGCTAAATCCCTAGGGCCTCTTCACCTTTCTTGAGAAAACTAGCTTATTAGGCAGAAGAACACAGTAAAAATCAAGAAAGAGAATGCAGGGGAGACATTAAACTACTGTGAGTGTTAATTAACTAGGAAAATTATGACAGAAAAAAGAATTACAGTAGGAAATTTAGTGTAGTTTTAGATTTTCACTTCAGCTTTTGAAATATGCATTTCTTATCTTGTAAATTTCATGAGTAAGCACGAGACATTTATCTTTCAAAAGGACAAGAACTTTGGAAGTATTGACTCTTGAGAAATCTGAGCAACATTATTAATAGTGAAACAAAAATCTTTCTGAAGTTAAGTCTATGTTGTTTTTTAATACTAAAATGCCATTTCAAATCATCTTCTAAATCCATTTGATATTTCAAGATTCTGCTATGATACAATCTACAGGGTAAAGCTGATTTGATTTCCATATTATCCCTCATCTCCGTTATACTTCCATGAGAGAATTAATCACAAATTCTATTTCTTTCTTATCATATGTATCTAGTCATTCCATTAAGTACTGTTTAACTCTGCCTTGTAATATGTAATTGTGAGTTTGTTTCCCATGATAAAGTATAGAGTTCTTGAAAATACCTTTAATTAAATTTATTAAAATAGATAGATTCTGAAATATAAAAATGTACATATTAATGGGAAACAATGTTTTGATACACTGTGTAATGTTTACATGAGGTTAAAAATAGTTCTTCAAACTATTATTTCTTTTAGTAAAAACTTTCAAAATTCTTTCTTCTAACATTTTGAAATGAACTGCATACTATTGCTATTTATTGTCAAATTAATTTATAATATATCAGAACTTCTTGCTGCTATCTAGCTGTAACTTAGTACTGCACCCATTGATCAAACTTTTCTCACTTTTCCAACCCCTGCACATTCCTCAGCCTCTGGTAGCTGTTAGGCTTGACCTGGTCATGAAATGGTTAATTAACATGCTTTTTAATTCCAAGCTACAGTTTGACAAGATACAAAAACCACAACAAATCAAGCAGCTGATGTAGGTGCTGTCTCTACCCAATAAAAGCCATACTATCTCAAAGCAGATAAGACACAGAACACAGGATGGGATGTTCCCAACTTAGAAATAACAACTACAAAGTAAAGCATATTTTCAATGCCAAGTCACTTGAAAATATCCATACATCTGCTTTGATCGCTGCATGGAGCCTGACACAAATATTTGCTCTGACCCCTATATGTGATGTGCCAGACTTCTCTTCCAATTCTCTATAAAGTTTTCTGATTTTTATTTGTTCAGGGATGACAGCTTCTTGCTTGCCATCAGCCCACCTTTGCCCAGGTGAATTAAGTCTGTACCTTTTTGTTTTCACTAGCCTGCTTGGGTGGTCTCATTCCTTTAATGTTTGTTACAGTAACTTCTTTTCTACTGTCAATTCTTATGAGATCAGCTTTTTTAGATTCCACGTATGAGTGTGACAGTTGTCTTTCTGTGCCATCCTTACTTTATTTAACATAGTAATCTCAAATCATATCCATATTGTCACAAATGATAGCATTTCATTCTTTTTCATGACTGAATAGCATTCCATTGTGTATATGTACCATTTTTTAAACATTTAGACACTTAGGTCATTTCTATTTCTTGACTATTTTGAATAGTGCTGCAATGAACATGGCAGTGCACATGTCTCTTTGCCACCTTTGGAGAAGTACTTCTAATTGCTGTAAGGGAACAAGGGATGAAGACTGTTCTGGCAATTTCCAGCTCAAGAGAGTCATAGTTGTGATGGGCAGTCAGAGATACTTCACAGAGGGTTTATCTAGGGGCCCTCCAAAAATTCCAGACATTCTCATTTTGGGTAGGCATATAGCTTTAAGTCTGGAGGAGACAAGGCCAAAGAAACAGTTAAGAATTGATGGACTAAATAATGAGATCAACAAATTTTTTATGAATATAACCAACAAATATTTCCACTAGGAAGAACCAGTAATAGCCTCCCACAAAGAGGATAAGGATAAGGTCCAGGGGATTTCAGAATCTGACATGGCATTAACTTGTCATCTAATATCTTGAACAGCTATTGAGATATTTGCAGAAGGATCTGGAATGTACACACTTTTAGTTTTTATATTTGCACAGGTACTCCCCTGTGCTGCAGTTCAAATGTCTAATGCCATCTGATTTTGGAGGAGGACTTACCTCATTTATTTTACATCTTCATTTAGGACAGAGAGACCAGTCATGGTGTCATTTAAGGCCTGCTGAGTATAATTAGTTAAGGCCTCAGTGTGTTGTATGACATCTTGTATCCCTAGGAAAGAAAGATAGAAGCCAAATGATCATACCAGTGAAACACACTCCTAGACCATCGATGTCATACCTAGGCAGGGTAAGTTTGCAGGTTTGTTGATGCTTTTTACTCCTGCCTTGTAACCACACAAATCTTAGAATGCATTTTCTTATCCATCCAGGGGGTAACAAGAGCCACAGATTGGTTCCACAGGACCAGTGGCTGTCACTGGGAGCTTCCTATCTAATTCCAAGGCAACAAACCAGTTTTCTTTAAACTAGTCTTTGGCCTGTAAAGTTGTTTTGTGTGTACATTGTTTAGGGGATTTCCATCCCAAGTATTTTTTAGACCAATGAGAACAGGAGTGATTTTTCTATGCCCAACATAAGGGGGGATTCTACTAAGGTACCCATAGTGTGGTTTAACCATATATAGTCATCCCATGTCTGAAAATAGCCATCTTGATATCTATGGTTGTTGTTCCTCTTAATCGGATCCTTACTTCTACTTAACAGGGGTTTTACTAGATCCTGTAGAGAGGCTTCAGTGGTATTGTTAGAACAAATTTGATTATATCCAGGGTCATCAATAATGTAGTTTATAGGCCACTCAGTTATCTTGTAATGGTGGGCTGAAATAGGAACTATGGAACTCTTTCATGTCTCATCAATATAGTCTTGTAACTTATTGTAATCATCTCTTTAAGTGGGAATACCCACCAAGAAAATCTTGATGTAGTTGACAAGGGAAGTAGACCATATTCGGCAGGACATTTGTTGTAACAACTCTGCTTATTCCTGTGCCCACCTTAGGAAGGAATTGCCTTATCCTTAAAGTGATGAGGTGATTAGCAAAAGGGCTAAGAGTAACATCTTACATTACTTATCTGAAGGCTTTGTTTTCTTTTTGAGCAAGAATTTTAAGTCTTATGAGCTCACAGAAGTATTTGGATATTGGTTCATACTCTGAGATGGTTTTGGGTTCCCAAGGTTTGAGTTGGGTGTGATCTATCTAGGAGTCTAGGCCTGCTACCTTGACAGCTGATGGAGTTGACAGAATCATGGTGCATACACCAAGTTGGTCACAGGGAAGGAGATGACAAGGGAAGTGAAACCTCCTGTACTAAATCTTCGGGTTGGAATATGGGATTTCCTCTTTCTCTAGGCTGAAGTTCTGTTCTGAAAAGTGTTGGAAGCTTACCAGTAAAAGGACATCTTTTAGTAAGGCATCTGTTTCTCTATCAACTAGAAAATCATTAGTGAGAAAAGGACATACATAAAGCATTTCAAATAGACTGAGGCCTAGAAGTTAAGGTGTATTTCTTATGACTCTTTGTCCTTTACTGAGCTGTAAAGCCCTGGGCAGAAATACAAGTTTTGCTAGCTGAGCACAAGCTCCAGGTGCAAGTGAGAAACTTTTAAACGTCTGGTGTAGAGTCACTATTGTGTACTCTGCCTTTCTTGTTCCATTTTCCATAAAGGAACTGTCATCACAGAAGAGGGTCAAATCAGGCTCAGTAAAGGGTATGTCTAACAAGTTCTTCACTCGCTGCATATGTAGGGAGAATTACTTGTTCACAATCATGTCTTTTGGTCTCAATGTCCTCCTTTTCAGGTAGAAAAGTGGCAGAGTTTAAGGAGGCACGTATCTTTATTTGAATGGCTGATCCTTCTAGAAGTAAAGTCTGGCATTTAAGAAGTTAGTTGTCTGATAGTCATAGGAAGAAAGAAGTCCTGAAACATTATGAGGTATGTATACAATGAGATCATTGCCTAAGTTATGTTGGTTGCCTCTGGAACTAAGAGAGCCACTGCAGCCACAGCTCTAAAGCATGCAGGCCATCCCTTTGCTACAGTGTCAAATTTATGACTCAGATACCCTATAGGCTGTTGACCTCTCCAATCCTGCATAAGCACTCCCAAAGCCATGCCCCACCTTTCATTGATATACAGATTGAAATGGTGTCCTGTTAGCAAGCTCAGTGCCAGGGCATTTAGAAGCACCTGTTTGAACTTCTGGAATGTGGTCTGGGAATCCAGTTTCCAGGTTAAAATACGGGAGTCTGTCTTTGGGCTTCTTTTATAAGCTGATAGAGAGGTGGTGCAATTTTACCATATCCTGCTATCTAAAGGCAAAAAATGCCTGTAATTCCTTGGCATCTCCTTAGATGTTGTGGAATCTTGGGCTGTGGAAAGGAAATAACTGATTTAATTTTTTCTTCCCCCAGTCCTCAAGTTCCCTTAGGTAAGATAAAGTTGTGCCTTAGATCTAGAAACCTTACAACCCCTGTCTGCTAGAAAATTTAGCAGAACATGAGTGCCTTGGCTAGAAAGCTCTTCTGAGGGGGACACATAACAGTATATCATCTACATATTATAAGACCATGACCTAGGAACATTTAAAACACAGCGAGTCATGAGAAAGCACTTGCCCCAAGAGATAAGAACTACATCTGAAGCCTTGAGGAAGCACAGTCCACATCAGTTGAGAGACCTAGTCATGAGGATTTTGAAAGGCAAAAAGAAACTGGGAATCAGTATTTAAAGGGATAAAAAAGAAGGCATCTTTTAAATCCAACACTGAGAACTAACTGGCGTCTTCTGGGATCTGAAGAAGGAGAGTGTACTGATTAGATACCATTGGGTGAATTGGCACTACTGCTTCATTTATTAATCTAAGGTCCTGTACCAGCCCTCCACTGGGCTTTTGAACTTCCAGAATTTGAGCATTGCATGGAGTATTACACACTTTAAGTAAATTTGTACTCTTAGGTTGTCAATTATAGGCAATAATTCTTTTTTTACTTCATGCCTTAGAGAATATTGTCTCTAGTGAGAAAAAATAGTAGGATCTTTGAGATGTATTTGCACCAGAGTAGTTTTTATTGCTGTACCTATTCTACCTTTAGTTCCCCACACTTTAGGATTTATTTCTGTCTTTATAAGGGGAAGGCAGTGTACTTGACCTAGGTGCATATATATTATAGTATTTAAACAAGATAAAAGACCTCCCCAGGAGGGGAACTGGACTTTCAGGAATAATTAAAAAGGAATGGGTGAAGAGAAAGCCATTCCAGTTACAGTCTAAGGGTTTTGGTAAATAAGTTACCTCCTCTCCAGTGACTCCTTTCACTGATGGAAGGAAGACAAGGGTTGAAGAGAAGAACAGACAGGTGCCAGTGTCCAACAATAAGCTGACTTTTTTCTCTCTATAGTCATGACTACCTGAGGCTCCTTCATGAAGATGAGAGTCCAGCCAGAGGGAGAAAGCAGGGAATACCCCAGGGCCCTTCAGCCTTGCTGGACCAGCTGGTAGGATGGAGTCTGACCTCTGGGGCCTTTGCCTCAGAGGACAGTCCAACTTCCAGTGGTCACTTTTGTAATCAGGGCATGCCTCAGGGGGCCTCTTACAGAAGTTTCTCCTAAGGTGGCTTTGTTTTCCACAGTGGTAGCAGGTAAGGTTAGTAGTCATCGAGATCATTGTGGAGCCCTGAGAATCAGACTTAGGGTCTGTTTTGGTTAGTGTTGTCCAAAATGTCCCCCCAAAAGCCTCATGAAGATGAGATGGGGCTTTCTTTTCAGAGGTGGTTGAATCTGGCAAGTGTGGTGCTGGGGTTAAGGGTGTATGGTTACTAAACCACTACATGTGAGTGATTGGTTTGGCACACCCTAATCCTGGTAGTCTGCATGGGAATAAAGGACCCTTATTGTCTTTTGTACCTTGAACCTGCCATGTTGTTTCTTTTTGTGATGCCTGTTTCCCATCCCTGCCTTGGAGCCAGCTGATTATGGACTGAAAGCTCTACAAATTGAGCTAAATAAACCTTTCCCCCTTTAACTTTGGGTGTTGGGTATTTTATTGAAGCAATGAGAGAAAAGTAACTAAGACAGAATCTATTCTTTTAAAGCATCCTGCTAAGGCTGTTACCTTCTCTCAGGCCCTCTGTAAAATACTGAAGAGGCAATTTTCACTAAAGTATAAAGTGAGCTATCTGGAGCAAAAGCCATCTTTTGTAACTTTTTTCTAGTATCAGGGGCTAACTGTGTAATAAGCTTGTCTTTAAGAACAGTCTGTCCTACCAAGTCAGGAGCTAGGGATGTAAGTTTTACTAATGCTTTTTCTAAGCAATCTATGAAGGCAAAGGGCTTTTCTTTTTCTTCCCATTGAATAGTCGATAATTTAAGATAATTGAAGGGCTTAGCTCTTGTCCTTCTTAAACCTTCAAGAACACACAACTGAAGGTGCTATCCTGTGTAGAGACTGCTTGAGCTCCATTAGGAACCAGAAGTTCCCCTGGATGTCTCTCTTCTGGCCTTCCAAAATTAACAAGATGCGTTCATCTCCAAATGCAATGGCAGCTCATAATGCTGCTTGTACCTCATTAGAAGTCAATGCTTGATTTAACAGTAACATTATATCCTTCCAGTCTACTTCATAGGTTTGAGTAAATCCTCTGAAGGCATCAATGCACATATCAAGGTTGTCTGAAAACTTTTTTAGTTCTTGTTTGATCTGTTGGAGATCATTGTGAGACAAGAACACATGGACATGAGCATGTTCAAATTTACTGTTTACTTCTTGTAAGGGATATTGTCCTTGAAGGGCTTGAACAAAATCAGATAAGGGTAGATATAGCCCTGTAGATGGTTTAATTATGGCTAGCCTAGAAGCCTCATCCCTAGACTCTAAAGGATAAGGAGGAGGGATCTCAGGCTCCAAAGAACAAGTGGGGAAAGCATTAAACTCAGCAATAGTAGGTGGAGCTTTGGTAAGGGTTGTCTTGGAAACCTCATCCTCAGGTTTAGTAATACAAGGTAGGGTTTTGATTAAAATTGTTTTGGAAACCTTGCCCTTAGTGTCCAAAAGGCAAGGGCAAGAAACCTTAGTAAAGATGTTTGGCTTTCCTGTGGCTTACCTTTTGAACACAGATAAGGAATTATTTCTTAACACAAAGAAAGCCTGGACATAAGGCAATTCTGACTTTCTTTCTTACAGTACAATTCTAGTTGTGAAATAGTATCATAATCGATATTTCCCTCTGGATTCCATTTTGGCTCTAGGGGGTAGGCAGTCCATGCTCACTGCAGAAAAACACTTAACCACTTTTTCTCAGTATATGAGGGTCGAACATTTTCTAGTGTTAAAGAATATATTTCAAAGGAGTAACAGGTTCAGATATTGAGTTACCCATCTGAAACAATAGAAACAAATTGGGATCCTCCTAAGTTTTTACTTGATTTATATACCTGCAAGGAGTCCCAGAGATGGCTTACTCCAGAGCAAGTGGCTGCCATTTGGAGGAAACCAGAAGTAGACTAACCACCTTTTACCAGCTTGTGACCCTGTCTTCTCTAGAAAACTTATACTCTTACTTCTAGTATATGTTTCCAAAGACACAAGCCACAATTGAGTCCAGCTGTAACAGCCATGTTTAAAGAAGGAATCATTTGTAGCAAAACCAATAATCAAGAGATCTAAACCACTGATTTCTAGTTCTTTGAAAGAGAGTGATGAAAGTATATCAATCGGAAAATTAGAGCACTTGTTTAGCCTGAAAAAGCGAACACTTCTAGAGACTGAAAAAGCATATGGCTCAGAGGAATTCTACCCTGGGTCCTAAGGTAGAGAAGGCTTTAAGACATTCCTGTTATCTATCTAGTCACCTATGCAACTTTCCTTAGCAGCAAGAGAAGACAACTTATATCATTCAAGGTCCATTTTAAAATCACTAAGTATCTGAAACTCACAGGTTAAACTTATGTTCACTGCCTAGTAACCACAATTTACATGTTAGTAAAGGCACATCTATCAGTTTTCTATGTGTACATGAAATGAAGAGAAAGGTTGACTAAAATCTCTTTTTATTTTAGTTAGCATATAAAAAAACAGAAGTGTAAGTCACTAGCTGATTACTATTTTCCTCTATGTAAGACAAAACAGTTGATGTAAGTTGCTTTAGCCTGACTTCCTGGCAGGAGGAGTGGTCTGACTACAAGGTGGTTAACTGCCAATGAATTGGAGAAAAGCTTAAGGAGATTTTCTAACTCATTAGCAGGGAAAATAAGTCCAAATAAAAGCCCGTCTAAAGCCCCCCAGAAAATAATTACATAGCATTTTACAAGTTTACAGTAAAGATTTTAGAATTTGCAACTTATTAGTGAAGGCATTTTCCTCCACTACACACATAAATGATGAAAATCAAACCCAGAAGGGGTGAGAGAGAGAGAAGTTTGGGGTTCTCCCTTAAACTAAGTGTGTTCTTCACCTAAGATGACTTCCCTGTCTTTGGTGTTAAAAAAAAACCACTCATTTTCTATGGAACCAACTTAAAGATCCTTAGTTGGAAAGGTTGCAGCAGTTATAGAGCTCCTTCCTTTCTCTAACTTTACATGCCTCTACAAGGAAATTGTAAGGGAATTTACAAGGAATAGCAGGGAAAGATCAGAAGTGAGCCCAGGAAAGGAGTTCTTTCCTTCTCATCCTCACGGTGAGTTATTGAAGACTACTTGCTCTAGAATTGCCATTCTCAGCCTGGAAAGGCAAGAATGGGGAATCTCAAAAGCTAAGATTGCCTGCTCACCAACAGAAGATCAGACAAGAAAGGAAACTGAGGCAGAACAGGCCCAATATTTTCTCCAGAGTAAAGAGAAAGATTGAACCAGAACATCTCATTTAAATCTGTCCTCCAAGTCTTAAGAATGGTTTCTGGCCTTTAGTCTTTTAACTGGTAAATGGAGTCCCATGATTTATTAATAGGCACGTATATGTCTCAAATATAAACTAGATTTATAAAAAGACCCATTCTATAGCATTTTAAATTTATTTGTAGTTACCATAAAATTCCACTAGGTGGTGGTCTAACACTATCTTTTTTTCTAGCACCATTAGCTAACAAAACAAAGAATGCAACTTTAGTGATTAAGTCCAAATGAAACTTTACAAAACAGAATAAAATGTAATTTTAACAAAGGACAATGTATCATAAGAGAAACAATCAATTTGCAAAAATTTAAGACATTCTACCTAAAATTTAAGACAATTTTGAAACAAAAGCCAGAATCTGAGAAAAAAAGGCCAGACTTTATGAAACAAGAAGTTGGAATCTATGAATCAAAAAGCCAGGGTCTATGAAACAAAAGCTAGAATCTCTGAAGCAAAAAACCAGAATCTACAAAACAAAAAGTTAGAAAGGATGAAACAAAAAGAGTCTATGAAACAAAAGCAAACCCTTACCTCCATCCAATTGTCTCAGTGGAAGACCTCCAAATGATATAGGGTGTATGATATGTTGACCTCCAAATAATCCAAATAAGGGAAATGATCCAAATAAGGGAAATATAATTCTCAACCTGCTAGATAGACAAAATGCTGAGTTTATGAGCTCTAAAAGTGAAGAATGAATTTTAGGAAACCACAGAGGTTAAAATAAGGGAATATGTATCGAGGGAAAGATAGCTCCTGCTTGAGAGGGACAGGAAGGAGCACTCAGAAAGTGGGTTGCCACTCACTTTTGAGCAAAGCTATGAGGTGAGGTGAGTTCAAGGCAGGACAAAACTAGTCCAGTGGAAAATCACAAGGTGGGTATGAGATGGGCCAAAATTGTAATCAACCAATAAGATTACAAGTACAGTCACCCAGATAATATTCATTAAATAGGGATCAAATGAGGAAACAAGTCACATAGCAAGAATGTATGGAATGAATAAGGACTTTCTGGAAAGGAAATGGGTTCTGAAGGTTTTGATCCCTACTTACGGTGATTCATGTCTGTTTAAAATATCAATTACTGCTATTTATCCCAGGGAAAGTAGGTGGGTGTAGTAATCCTCCTTTTTTTTTCATTTTAACATTTTATATAAAAACACTAGTTTAATTGCCATTTAACTTATATCATCCCAGTTTGAGATCCTCCTGTCCTTCAAATCATTGTCTATCAGCATAAAATTACCATCTCCCTACCACCCAATCTCAAGAACTGACTCTGCTCTTTTGACATGGTGACATTTGGAGGTGCTGAGGCCCACGGGAGAACATGGGGCCCAGGCAGAGGCAAGGCCCTTGGAATCCAAGCCCCCCATACTTGGACTAGTCCCTGAATAGACCTTATACATCAGGGCAAATGGAAGTTCCTCCTTTTTTAAATGCTTTTTTTAAATGCTTTTTTAAATTTTAAATTCAGTAAATGTGTCTCAGTTGTCTTCTGCTTTGACTCCCTCAAGGATCTGACCCTATCTAACTCTCTATAATATATCTAATTTACTTAGCTGGCTGAAACAATCAGGTGACTTGGACATGAATGATGATGATAATGTTGACTTTCACATTGCTATGTGAGCCGAAGTTCTTGTGACAGTGAAATGGAGCAAGAATTGACCAATACAAACACAGGGAATGAAGACCTCCCTGATTCAGATGACGAAGTAAACAGCAATGTTAGTACATATTTGACTTGTCAAAATGGTATAAACTGATTATGCAACCAAATGGAATCATCCAATGTTAGAACTACATTGAAAAATATAGTGAGGAGGACCAGGGATTTAGTTCAGTGGTTCTGCCACCTGCCCCGCAAGCGCAAGGTCCCGAGGTTGATCCATGGTACAAAAAAATATATATAAAAAGTATATATATATATAGTGAGTAATCTTAGCAGGGATGAAACCTATTAGACGTAATACTAGCACTGAAATTCAGTGTTGGAAATTGTTTATAACAGACAAAATGTTACAAAATGTGAAATACACAAATGATGAAATATAAGTAAAACATTCTGTATCCTTAATAGTCATACTAAAAAAATGAGTTTATTATGACACCTCACTATTTGAACTGAAAACATTCTTGGGTCTTCTGTACTTAGCAGGGCTTTCTCATGCTAATCACAGGAATGTAAAAGATTTATGAATGCAGAAGACTTATGGGTGTGGGTTTAAGCTTTGTATAATAACAGTGCCACTGAGGAGATTTGGTTTCCTTCAAAATTGCCTGAGGTTTGTTGACAAAACCACTATCCAAGAAAGAAAAAGAACTGATAATCTGGCTGCTGTCCCTGAGAGTTTTGTTTCACAAGATCAAATAATTTACACACCATCTGAACATATGACTATTGATGAACATCTTATGGCATGCCATGGTTGCTGTAGCTTTAGGCAGTGTATGCCAAAAAAAGCCTTCAAAATATGGTATAAAAATTGTATGTCCTGGTAGGGCAAAGGAAAGAAGGGAATGGAATTAATATGAGAAAATGAAAAAATGGAAACAAAGCCTTTGTAAATAGGGAGGGATGGAGAGGTTGAAGGGAGGGCAGGGGAATAGGGAAAAATAAGAATGAAGAGAGATTATGTAGAGGTGCAAATTTCCAATGATGAATGTCGCTATAGTGTATGCCTAAAATGTAACAATAAAATTAATTTTTTAAAATTGTATGCCCTAGTATAGGCAAAAGCATTATACTTTCAATTTAGAAATTTTTCCAGGAACTCAGCCACCAAGTCTAACTTTAACCCTGAATAATCATTAAGATGGTGTTGTGTTTGGCACTTGCCTCGCAAGCGTAAGGTCCCGAGTTCGATCCCCGGCACACACACACACACAAAAAGATGGTGTTGTGTTACTGGTTGAAAGGAGAGAAGAGAGGTGGCTCACACATCTTCCTTGTTTTAGGATTATAGAAGCATAGATAATCATTAGGGTGGTGTTCCATTTACAGTTAAATGAAGAAAAGGGAAAGAAATGACTCAACTCCTTTGTGTCTAACTATACTAAAACCTCCACCAAACTGAAGCCTGAGATAGTAACTTTTTGCAACAAAACCAAAGCCAGAGTAGAAGTTATTGTTGAGTAATGCAGCAACTATGATGTCACTCAAACACAAAGCATTGGCCTTTGTGTTTGGCAATGGTTGTATTTTACTCAATCCTAAAGATGTGTGGCATAAATAGTTTGATAGTTTACAATAAAAATAACAAATACAAAATATAACAGAAATTGTATTAGAGGATTGGGATTGGAACTCATAAGAGATCATTTACAGCAGAGGAAGAACAAAATGTTTCTGCCCAAGAACTATGCAAAAAAACTGTGGAGCACACTGGTGAGCTGACAGGTGAATAGCAGGTGTAACATCAAAAAGACCTACTACAACAACAGGAAAACCAAAATGATGTCAACTGTGACCTACAAAAAAGGACAGGAAAAGAAAACATACATGCTCTCAGTGTAAGTGATACTTGTGCATGGAACATGCAGTTGTCATGTATGAAGACTGCCTTGAATGTGACAGTTGAAGCAAAGATTATTTCTGTGGTAAATTTTTGTTTGTGATTCACTGTAGTTCACATAGGTTTTATTGCTGATGTTATCCTTTAGGTTTTGTAAGTAAACTGCTGATGTAAAAATGTTGATGTCTAACATATTTCTAGTGTGTTTCTAACATATATTCTAACATATTTATCTGTTTAACATATTCTTACATATTTGATACTTTATTTTATTGACATCTAATTTTTCTGCTAAGTGCATATTGTACACTAATATAGTAGGAAGCTCCTAAAAAAAGAATAAAATAATAAAGATAACAAGAAAAGCCTGCCACACAGGAAAAGAAGCTAAGCACATTTGCTCTCAATTTAAGTGAGATGTGTGTATGGAACATGAGTTGTCATGTGTGAAGAAGACTGCCTTGGGTGTGACAATTGAAGCAAAGATTATTTTTGTTGTAGAGTTCTATCCATATTTTTCACTGTAATTCATATAGCAATGTATTTCTGATGTTATCTTTTAGGTTTTGTAAGCAAGTACACAGCTGCTGTGAAAATGTTGATATTTAGTCTAAATGTACAATATATATTAAAAATTTAATACTTTATTTTATTGATATTTCATGTTCCTGTTTACTACACATGTAAAAGAACCTCCTGAAAAAACAGCAAGACCAGTGAGATGTCAAATATGTCCTACAGAAAAAACAAGAAAGGAAAACACATGTGCAATCAGGAAAGTCCTGTTGTCATGTGTGAGGCCTGGTATTACACTTGAAATACTTTGGTATTAGACTTGAAATTAAGATTATTTTTGTTGTAGAATTCTATTAGTATTTTCATTGTAGTTCAGATAGAATTTATTTCTGTTGTTATATTTTAGACTTTGTAAACCCAAAAACAGTTGATGTTGAAAATTTTAATGCTTTTTTATAAACACTCAATAAATATTAAAAATTCAGTACTTTATTTTATGATGTTTGTTTCCTGTTAAGTACTCATTATTTAATATAAAACTCATAAAATTAAAAATTCACCAATAAAAATATTCTAAAGGATGTAGGTATTGTACACCCACAAAAATGCATCTTTAACACAAAATTGGTGTGATGCCCTGGGGTTAATGGTCTCATTCTTCTTTATGTGGTTATCCAGTTATCCTAACATCATTTATTTAAAAGATTCATATTCTTAGCACCTGTACTAAAATCAGTTGGGTGTATATTCTTTTACATTAGTCTGTGTATCTGTTTTTATGCCAAAACCATGTTGTTTTAATTACTGTAGTTTTTAATATATTTTGAGGTTAGCTTATAAAAACCTTAGTAGTTTTAGTTTGTTTTTTGCAAGTGGTGAGAAGTCAGCATTCTTGTCCTATTCTGTTCTTAGAATGAAAGCTTTTAGCTTTTCCCTTTTTAGTACATTAGTTAGTTTTAGTACATTTCCCTTTTTGGTCCATTTAGTAATTGTTGGTCATTTATAATTGTTGGTATATGGAAGTATGTACTCTACCTAATTTGTTCTGCACTTTATAACAAAAGGATGTTAATTTTTTATCAAGTGCCTTTAAATGTGTTTAAATGATCATATGGTTTTTGTCTTTCATTTCGTTAGTGTAGTGTATCTATCAAGTTCATTAATTTGTAAGCATTGAGCCATTCACATATTCTTGGGATGAATTCCATTTGACGGTGCTGAGTGATCTTTTTCATGTGCTGTTTGATATTGTTTGCCAGAATAATACCAAGTATTTTTACATCTATGCCTCTCAAAGTTATTGCACTACAGTTTTTTTATTATTGTTATGCCCTTGTGTGGTTTTTGTATTATAGTAATAATCCTGGCCTTCTAGGATGAATTTGGAAGAGTTTCCTCCTCTTCATTTTTTTCACACAACTTAATGAGAATTACTATTAGATGTTCTCAAAATGTTTGATCAAACTCAGTAGTAAAGCTACATAGTTCTGAGCTTTGCTTTCCTTTGAGTGGCTAATTCATATCAATAGCTGTTATTG